GGAGGAAAATTGAGAAAAATTCTTGAAACAAGGAAGAAAAATGGGGGAAGTGAATATCTGGAACGCCGTCCAAGTAGCAGAGATTCACAGCTCCGAGATTCCGTCATCTCCTCTCACCGTCGATAACTCCCTCCCACTTCCCGACATGAAGCCTTGCATCGTGTAATTTTTTTTTTTTTTAAGAAGGCAGTTTTGTTCATTTTTTGTTTGTTGCCTTTGGTTTCTGAGGATTAATATACATATTAATGATTGCTTGTACTAAAAACTTAAATAGGAAATTGGAATTCGGATGGACAGACTCAACGAGTGTCTATTTACAGTTAGGTTGACAATTTGATAAAAGGAAATTGGAACTCAAAGCTCGATCTGTGCTTTGAGATAGATTGGAATTTCAGCTGAGAGCTGCTTTTTTTCATCTTGACGTTTATATAGTAACTTAATGCGGTGCGTGAAAAAAGTTTCCGAGCCAATTGGTGAAGAATAGGCTTAACTATGGTAATGCTGTTGTCAGCTTGAGACACTTACTTGAGGCCTCGAGATCTGATTTGCCGAAAAAATGACAGATAATCCATTTTTTGGAAGTAATCTCCTTTTACGGCTTATTTCTAGCGTTCTATGCTGTTTGGTCCAGCAATGGTGTTTAGTACAGTATAGTTTTGTGCAGAGCTGCATAATATTTCACTTCTGTGAGGCCTGCTGATTAGTCAGAAAGAAAACAAGCAATACAAATTAATTTCACTCAGGATGTGTGCAAATACAGACGCATACAAATGTTCTATTGGCTCTATTTTATTCTTCGTTTATTTGTTTTTTAACTACAAATTGAAGTTGAATTTGTTAATGATGTTGTATCTTGGACACCATGAATGCTTTTCTTTTCCATTGTAAACAGTCCTTTCTATTCTGCTCCCATTGTTTGGCAGGAGGTTATGCAAGGATCTGTTCAAGCAATGGTCAAATTTGGATGATTCTGATTTCTCTCTCGAGACTGTGTCTGGTGGCATCACAAATCTATGTATGCCTCTGTTGTGCTGTCTGTAGTTTGTTCGCTGTAATTGTAAACTGTAAAGCCATATTTTTTTGAAAACTAATGGATTTACCTGTAAGCTTTATAAAACTGGATCATAGGGAGTCTTATTTTAATAATTTTGGTGATTTCCCTCTGTTCTTAAGTAATCATGCATGAGATTCATTCTAATGATTTTTATTTGTTTTTGTTATTGGTACAGTACTGAAGGTATCCGTGAGAGAAGAAAAAAGGAACATTGTAAATTTGACAGTTAGATTATATGGACCAAATACTGAATATGTAATCAACCGTGAAAGAGAGCTGCAGGTAATCTGACTTTCCTTTGATAAATATCCTGTAGATTATTTATGCAATCATGTTCGCTAATCTTCTGGTATCATCTTGACTAATTTTTTCCAAGCTCAAATGGAGTTTTCTGTATATAGACTTGTCATCATCTTAATCCAGCTTTAAAAAATTTCTGATGCAATTTAATACGGCTAAAATTGTGTTTAGGCTATTCCATACCTTTCAGCTGCTGGATTTGGTGCCAAGTTGCTTGGAGTTTTTGGTAATGGCATGGTGCAGTCATTCATTAATGCACGTACCCTTACTCCATCAGGTAAGCATCTTGAAGATGAAATTTGTAGTAAAGCGGCCAAAACATAAAATAAATAAAGCCTTTTCTCTTCAATGCTCTAGTGTTTCATAACCCGTTATTTGCATTTGATTAATTTTTGGAAGTTCCGAATGGCTGTGACCAGCTTCACAGTTGGATTCCAGCTTCTCATATTTATTGAAGATTACCTGAGCAGATTATTTATCATCAAAATTTTTTGACATTTGATGTTGACAGTTGCCTGTTGGTCGTGCCATTGTTCACATATTTATTTTTCAAGCATCCTTATTTTTATATACATACAACATAGGTCTTCTTGCGCTGATCTTAGCCAAGAAACTGAGAAA